AATTCTCCTGACAGAGTTTGTGGACATATAGAGCGGACTAAACTGAGACAGAAAGTTCTCATTTTACAATTTTCGCAATAATTAATGAAATATTAGATGACTTATTTTAATTTCTTCAGACAAATATCTCGAAAAATATGGAAGGTATAGAACAATGTGGAACGGTTTCGAGTGAGACGAGATATTTTACATTTTATTATGGCACATACTGACATAAAATATTAACTAACTCGTAAACTATTGATTTTTTTTATATCCCTACCTTAATACTTTTATATGCAGAATAATTAGAAGGATATCATATTGTATAAAAAAACATACAATTCTATTTTAAAAAGTGGAGATAATCAGTATATCTTTCTGACGTCTCCATCAATAAAAAAACCCAACTTGACCAAAATACATTCTTCTCGAAACCGTTCAACTTTTATTTGAAACATTTTTCTATATTTTTTATATTTTTCGAGATATTTGACTGGGGAAATTAAAATGGGACATTTTGTATATGTGTGTGAGTGTGCGTGCAATGCGTGTGCGTGTACATGTGATGTATATGTAAGTGTATTTATTTACATTTATTGTTAATTTTTTAAATAGCCTGAATATTACGTTTCTTATTTGCTTAAACATAAAGGAGAAGGCTCATTATTATCAGCGTTGAAAGCTAAAGGATGGTGTAACTTAATAGGATCTAGATTACATCCTTCTACCAGAGGCTACAGTATTTTTAATATTTATGTCGATTTGACCGAAGAAGCTATTAAGCATATCGAAGATATTGTTCTACTGGTGTTTCAATATATCAATATGCTTAAGTTGAAAGGACCAATTAAATGGATCTACGATGTAATTGACAAAATAAAGTATAATTTTATGTAGAATGTCCGGAAAATTATTCTATCGCAATTTAACAGACATTTTGTACTTCAATATTGTATATTAAATATGAAATGCATTTTGTACATTTGCAGGAATATGATGATATTGAAAATACATACTTCAGTTTTAAAGAAAAGTCTTCC